GAATTTATTTTGTCGATCAATAGCTAACTCTGCTCCTATCTCTTTTGTCTTATCACAGTCTTGCCTCACCAGTGTTCCCCTAAAGTCTTTTATCAGAGGGATCAACTAGTCCTTGGCCCACTGCAGTTACCAGTGGTGGAGCCAAGGGCAAATCTCTGCCTGGAAAGTTTGAGAGCGCAGCTGTGAACTGGTAGGGAGCAGGCGAGCTGGCGCCAGGTGTGAAAGCCGCCTCAAAACTTGTACTGTGCCCGAGTCCTGTGTACTATGTGCAGGGGTGGTCCTCAGCAGGCAGTAACACCTTACAAGCTCATGTCAAAACACTTTTCATATTCCTCTGAATGGTCCATCCCTTAACATTATTCTGGATAATAAAGCAAAGGAAAATGCTTGGTTGAGTTCTACAGATACACAGGTCTGGTCTTGGTGAGATTTTTCCAGTAAGGCAGATGAATCCTTGAAGTCCATATTCATAGGAATAAAAGGATATATTATTTTTTTTTAAAAGCCTAATAACAAGGTCTAGTATATCTGCACAGAGATAAAATCTTTCAGAAATTAACCTTGACTTGGGAAGCCATCTCAAGCTGAGTTTTATTTTTTGAAGCTGTTGCAGGACCATAGTGCAAAGGATGAACCAAATAGCTAGTACAGTTGCATGTTCGGTGATCTGTTGGTTAAAGTAATTTCTTCTTGTTCCTTAAGAAAAGTTACATCTTTTAAGTCTATGTTAATAGTCCAAGGCTTTCAAAACACTTAACAAGCCTGGCATTTGCAGGCTGATGGTATGTTTTGCATAGTATCAATAGCTTGTCTTTGTGGCCCATGGGAAAAAGAAATCCTTTTCTTCTTTGTGGTGCATTCATACAGGCCCTCGCCCAAGATGACTGCAAGTGGAAACACTTTTTGTCCTCTGAAATCTTAATTCCAGCAGGCCAGGTGTTTTGACGAAGCTTCCAGTCTGTAGCTAGCCAAAAAGGTTTTGCAAAACCTACCTGAATTTTAGTGCGTGCGTCAGTTGTATTTTTGGTAATTTTATGGAGCCCTTGATGGAGTATATTCAAACAGATGCAAGAAATGCTGTTTGATTACTTTGGATGGTTAAATTGTGATTTCTGTTAACACTGCTTTGGCTTGGTGTACTCTGTTCCCTAGTCAATTGAGGATGAATTTGGATAGAGGAGCTGGCAAGGCTATGGTATTTACATAATGCCTTTTTTTTTTTTCTGTGAACCCTGAATGTGGATGGAAACAGTCTCTAATCTTCTTAGTGATCTAAGCAAAGATTGAATGCTTTGGGTCAAGCTGGGTTTTGGATAGGCTCAGTTAGGAAAAAAAAAAAAATTTAAAAAATCCCAGCTCTTCACAATGATTGCAAATGGAAATGCTTACAGACTGAGCTATTTAATGTTTCAGTAGTTGATAATATTTTTGATTTTTCAGCAATTTACAAAGACCACATAATTTATTTTCAACCATACTTTATGAGACTTTTTGGAAACAGAACAAACAGCCCTTGTGTTAAGCTCTGGGCACTGTTTGCATTCATTCCCCTTAGGGTAGTTTTAAGTTGTATCATGAGGGATGAAAAGGCAAGTGTCAGAATAAGCAGCATACAGAGGCTTCCTTTTCTCGATGAACTCTGAATGGCTGGAAAAGACTGCAGACCTGATCTTAATTCTTCTTGCACCATGACTGCTATGACATGGTAAGAGGAGGAGGAGTTCATTAGGTGGCTGTCCTTTCACATGCCAATTATTAAAATGTTCTGACTGTGATTTTTGTAGTATGCTGCAGTAACATAGCCTTTCAAACACTACTGTCATAAAATTAAAGATGTGATTTTTAATTTTTATTTAAGGTGGATAAATATCGTGAATTCGGGCTAGAAGTGACATTTCATACCTTTCTTGCCTTGCCTGCCTAGATTTTGCAGTATTTTTCATGTAGAAGTTACAGCTTGTCAGGCTCTCTGAACAACATGCAAGTACAATATATTAAAATGAAGGGGGAAAAAAAAAATCAGTCTGTCCTATTTGCATTTTCTTTTTTCTTCAGGCTTGCTTACCTTCCCCAATTCAAAAATTTATGCTAAGTCATTTCACTTAATGTTACCACAAGGGGGTTTTGTATATAATGCATCTTCACGTAATGTAAGATCACTCAGAGACTGATTTTTCAGAACATGAAAATTAGTAGGAGCTGCTGGCTCTCTTTTAATATCTGCAGCCTAACGTTTACAAACCAAATGGTTAACTTGTTATGTGGTTGCTTTTGTAACTAAGTTCAGCAGCAGGCATTTAAATTTTTTTGCTTTACTTCATGTTCAGTAATAGAATCAAAATTAGATCCATCCCCTGCTTGAACTTGCCACTGCTGTATTTCATTAACTTTCTCAATATTTGATGCAAATTGTTTCTAATTAACATGCTTCTAAATAAAGAAAAAAAGCATTCTTAAAAACCTGCGTGTAGTCTGTATAATAATAAAATTTTATTCTCAGCTATGAAGACCTGTACCATTTTATGACCCTTTTGAAATTGCTGGGTTTATTATTCTTACAGTTATTGTTATTCCTGTAAGTGGTGTATTTTAGAATGAAACCTGTTTTATCTGTACTATAATTAATAACCAAAAATAGCTTACTGAAAACATAGTAAGGCAGGTAAGGACATGATTAGTTATTGAGAGAAAGGAACAGAAATTAACCATACTCAGAATTTGGTCTTTTAAATGTTTAAATGTCACTGTAGCACACATTAGAGGTGCATCCGTTTCATTTTTTCTCCCTTTACCTGCAAAGGAGATTATATGATCTGTTAAAAAGGAAAAAAAGAAAATAAAAAAAGAAAAAAAAAAGGGGGGGGAGGGGAGAAAAAGGAAGAAAAGAGAAAGGAAAAACACAAATGAAAAAAGTGGGTTTTTTTCTGTCAACTATGTCCTTGTGATTATCCAGAAATAAATACGAAGAATGTAAGAAAATTTTGGCCATCATTGTAAAGTAGTATAAAATTTGAAAGGGAGGAATTGAGGGCAGTTTTGTGGACATGTCTGCCTTGTGTTCCCTATATATAAGGAAAGTATGTAGGAAGGGAGGAAAATATACACACGCATACATAAACTTTCCTCATAAATATCTATATATATATATATACACTTTTAGTCATAAAAATATATATATGGGTAAAATGATCAGAATAGGATATTGCAGGAGTCCAAATTGTGCTTGTAAAAATTTATCAAAGAAGCTGACCAAATCTGACCACTGAACTCTGTATTGTTATACTAATTGAAAGAAATAAAAGATAACAAGGGGCCTATGGCCTTAGAAAGCAACTTGTCAGTGAGATTGAGCCAATCTAAACCCGACTGCAACCAAAAGCAATTGTTCAGCCCTTCCTCCCTTTCCCCTTGCTCCATTTTTGCCTGCGCTGCTACGTGTGTGTCCGTGCTGTGAAGAATAATTGCCTCCTGCTCCACTTCCTTCACGTTGTTAATTTTTCTCCGGGTGAGTAATCCTATCTGAGTTAGGGCACGAACTCTGGTGCCGGCATAAGGGCATCAGTGGACGCGTACAGCTGGAGGCCGCAAGACCGCACCTTTTAGTGGCAGTATGGATTTAAATCACATTGAAAGCAATATGAAAGAGCAGCCCGAGCTTTATATGCATTGTGTCCCTTGTAACCACAGTGTTGACTGTAATAACAGGAGAGATTTAGACAAATATGCCACTAGGCTAATTAAGGGCTCTTCCCCTGAAGAGGCCTTTGTCTCAAGCTTTAGTCCTGGAGAGCTGAATGTAGCCACCTACTGCCTCAGGTTTTGGTTTGTTCTTAGTTTTAGCTCTAGAGCTATAAATACAGATAGATATAAATATAGATATAAAACCACAGTAACAAGACAAATTTTAAGGCCTTGTTTAAAATTTTGTTTTATTTTAATATATACACCAATATGATACATGATATGGGTGTTCTAGTTTTGGCTTTGGGTTTTTTTTTATTTAAAACTGTTTAGGAAACAAATTGTAGATACTATTTTGTTCTGTCCATTTCCAGCCAAGATTTCCATGATGAATACTTACGGATGATAGATTTGACTTAGGGGAAAAAATATTACAACTATTAACATCAGTGCTGAGCTATTCTGCAGTAGTAGAAGCTGGATGTTCATGTTCATGAAGCTGGATGTTGCTCATACCGTTCAGGTTCTCTGTTTGAAATGTAAAGGCTGGTTTTGGTGAAACTTCTCTTTTCGGAAATAAATGGGAGCTGCATCTTCTACTCTAAAAGCAATGCTGGACTGACTGCTTAACAGTAGTTGTGAATGATTATTAGCAATTTGAGTAGGCTTTCAGAGCCTTGTAGGTTCAGCATATATGAAAACATCTATTAGTGTTAACTTTATATCAGCTGTGCCTGTGTCTGGAAATGTTCACGGATGTCTGAGGTGAAGCAATAAGCCTGCTCTTCTATGGCTCCTGCTGATTTTTAAAATCTTTGTACTGCTTGAAAGAAATTGAATCAGAGTTTCAGCTTGACAATTATGCTTTACTTCTTTCCTTGCTTCACTTTCCACCCTTTCATAAATTGGTAGGGATACAGTTCACTTCCACATTCATAGGAAGGTAAACAACACTTACTGGTAAAGCTAGTTTGAATTAAGTACGTTTTCCCAAAATTTGATACTGCAAGATTGCTTTTATTCCCCTTCACAATTGTCGTCTGTCTCCAAAACAATGAAAAGGCAGTGTCTTGGTTTTCAGAGTTTTCCAGGATGTGGTCAACCAGTCCCCTTACCATCCTTACAGAACTTGTCTCATAAAGTAAACAGTAGCAGAAGACTCAGAAAATAACCCCCAATTTCTTCCTGAACTTTAATGTCTCATGGATTTTTGTGCCCTAAATGTTCTGTTGCATTCCCTTTCATGTTATCACATGCTCTGTAGCATTAATGAAAGCAATGGGGCATTGTTTTGATACTGCTATTTATTTTCTCTGTAGCTGTGTGCTGCCCACCTGCCAACCCGATCAGAGGCGCCGAACCACTACCAAGCAGTATGCCGGGCTCTGTTTGCTGAAACGATGGAACTGTACACTTTCTTGGCCAAAATTAAAAGTGCAAAAGAGGTAAGCAGTCTGAGAAGGTTTTCTGCTTTTGAGCTCATCACTGTGTGAATTAGGCTTACAAAATCACTTCTGTACCCAGCCAGTAGTGAATGTCAGATGCCTGAGGAAATTATCTGCAGTGTTCAGGGAGAGCAGTTCTACAGCTGAAGTTTTTTTTCTTTTGGCCTGTGACCATTTACAGATGTCTCGTAGAAATTGTTATTAATTGCGACTAGTCTATTTGGGAGTAAGCCAGAAGCTTTTTCTTGGAGGGTTACATATTGCATCCATTCTTGCATGTGTGTATGCAATGTATTTGAGTCTAAAACCTCTGGTGTTTCAGGGATGTTGTGAAGGATCGGATCTTTGTCTGTTGTCCTCAGCTCCTTCTCATGCCTTGACTTTGGCTGAGAATTATCTGAGATTCTTCCTGCTCATATTTTGTCCCCAGTCAGCAGCTTCCATTACCTTTGATGTATGATTGGTTTCTTTCTCTGTCACATAGGCTTCACAGCAGAGCCAACTTAAAAAAAGAAGAATTTCCGCCTGTAGGTCAGGATGCTCATGTTCCTTGCCTGCTTGGCTGCTACTGTTGATTGACAGGCCATCCTATGAACCACTGTAGTTACATGGTCTGGCTGAAGAGTAGCTTTGGGCGTGGGCGGTTGTTTTTTAATGAAGATATTTTCAGTGCAGAAGGGCTCCAGAAACAATTGTATTAACATGGTGTGGGTGTTGGTTACATTGGAAAACTGGTGGGTGAGGGGAAGGGCAGGGAGGGAAACATGCTTCTTAAAGCTCGTTTCTTCTCGGAAGCCAACTTGTCAAGTAACGACACTTTCATAATTTTTCTTTTTAATAAATCCCTGAAGGATTTTCTTTTCTTTTGTAAGTCAAGATCTACTGTACATTTGAAAAGCAGGGCAAGATTTTACAGGCCGATCTAAAAATCTTGCTGCTGTAAGAGGCCAAGGTGTTCTACCCACGTACACATGTTCCCACTGTTTTCCTTCGTCTGGTTCTAGGAAACAAACATGGCAAATACAAAAAAAAAAAAAAAAAAAAAAGAGTCAGTCCTTTTCAGGTTAATGAGCTGAATTGGCTCATCAAAGGGTTGGATGAGCCTCAGAGCAGCACAAGAGAGCTTTTATCCTCATGCTGGTGGTGGAAGATGCAAACTGGTCAGAGGCATAAGGGATTGATGCTGTCTTTTTCTTCCTGGTTGAGATGCATCCCTCCAAGGGGAAGAATCCTTCAGAGATGTTCTTCTGTTGCACGGGGTCACGTTTCACCCACTTTTCCTCCAGTCCTACTCAAAATGAAAGTAATTTTTAAGCTGGAGCAGTATCATATAAGGATAATTTTGACAGTGTCAGCATGGCTCAAGAGCCACCTGTTTCTTCTAAAGCACCTGTGTTAGGGTTCATCTGCATCCAATGCCCCTGATAGAGAGAGCAGACAGGTTACGGTGTCTCGGTGCTAAATCAGTCTCCTGAGCCTTGACATCATTAATTTCACACCTTGGCTTTTGACTGCTCTGTAGCGTTCTGACCGCTGGATATCCTAATTGAGGAACCTGTGCTAGAAACACCTCATCTAACAGCTGTTGCAAAGTCCATGTTGAGGCTCAAAGATAAGACCTTCTGGAGTTGTTCTTTCCATTCAGAGAGGAATTATGTTTCCAGTAGTTCTTGAGCATTTGGGCCACAGTAGGCAGTAATAAGGCATCTCTGTTGTCAATGTCAAAGTAAAATATTGTGGTTTATAACCATTTAAAATTAAATCTTAACAACACAGTTTTAAAAATTTATTTAAAAAGTAGAGGGATGTTTTGAATTTGCGAATTATTTAATCACCTTGTAATTGGACATAAAAACCCCACAACATCTGATCATACCACAGAGCATACTATGAGTTAATCCCAAATGAAAGAAACCATTTGCCTCTCAAAGGCTATTAGGGATTGATTCAAAGCACATTTAGGTCAAAGGAAGTAATCCTTGTAGATGGAATTTTGGCACTACTGGAATCACGAAGACTTTTATTGCTGTGCCTAACCAAGCCCAGAATTTTGATCTGTTGATTTCGTTTTATTCTGGATCAGTCCCCCAGTAGGCATACAAGAAGTGACCAGGAAAATTATCTTGTAAGCAGCTTCTGGAATCTGAATACTTTGGTTTTATGATGTGCTTGATCCTTGCTTATAGCTTTATCCAACTACAGATTTGGAATGTATTTAATTTTGAAAATTATGTAGCGTACAAAGAAAAAAATAGGTATAAAGAAAATACGAGGTGGAATGCTGTAAATCTTGTTACACCATTTTAAACTGACCTCTATGGTTTATACCTGAAGCAAGCAGGAATCATATGATCACTCCAGATTTGTGCCAGTAAAAGTGGTGGTATTGTTTATACGCTCTCTCTTGCAAATACATGGAAGAATCTCAATTCATGAGGAATACAGTTAAATACAATTCAAGTCAATTCCTTTTTCTTTTCCTTTTCTTATTGTCATACGAGTATTGGTTATAAAGGAGGGAAACACTTAATACTAAAGGACGTTTTGTTGTCTTGAATTTGTGGTGATTGCATTGGCAGATCACACCTCCCTCCAAATTACATACATCAGCACCAATTAAAAAAAGCCTTTTACTGTGTAATACTGTGTTTGTGACACTAAAGATGCCAGGAATTTCAACCTGTTAGTTTATTTCAAAAGCTGACAGCTTTATTCAGAGATCTTTCTTTAGAATCCCTCAGACCTAGACACAGTTGTGGATGTGAGATTGAAATGAAATTAAAACCACTAAAAAGTGGAAAAAATCCTCTAAAATTACTGAAAGTAACATTCCTATGAATAAAAATTACTTTGAAACTCCTTGGATTCCTTTAGGGCCACTGGATGATGGCATCTAGGTATCTGTTTCCCAGGAATATGAAGTTCATAGTTTTTGCTCAGTAGGCACTTAAACCGCCAACTTCACTGAAGTGGAAGAGTGAGAGTTTTTATCTGCAGAAATTCACTTGCTAGGAGTGGACCAAATCTGACCTATGTTACACTACAGCCCAGGACAGGTTTAGAAGAGAAGTACACTGTGAAAGAGGCAGAAAAAAATATTGCCATGGTGCTATTTTCAATTTGGCACTATAAAAACTTGTCAGGATGTTGAAAGTTGCAGGATTTCGTGAGAGATAGATCAGTAGGCAGGAAGGATAGACCTATAGGGTTGTGATATGTTTTGTTACTAATATATACACTGAGTAGTCATGCGCTCTTCAGTCTGTCATGTGAACGTCACTGTCGTATAACAAATGAAGCGTAATTTCAGAAAGGGTTTTACTGGCATGCATTTGGGTGAGTGCATTAATCAGAAATGATGAAGCAATGAGTGAGCTGTCCGGGTCATCTCAATGGATGTCAAAAAAATTGTTTAAGGCAGTTTGTCACATAAATGATGCCATGTGGATTTTATTTCCGGTCTGACTCCCTGTGTATGAAAGGTCAGCAGTAAAGCTGACTTGCAGACAAGGAGATGGTACTTCCATTCTTGAAGAGAATTAAGTGTTTAATGTAGTGGGTGCACAGGACAGGACTCAAGCCAGAGTTGAGAAAGGTGTGATACTACCATCACAATAGTAAAAAAATAAAAATAAATATAACAACAGTAGTAAAAATAAGTATTTCTGTGGAAAGCAGCAGCAGCAACTCCAAAGGTAGGGTTGAAATTAAGTTAACTAGTCTGATCTAATTTGCATCTTTTTGCAAGGTGAAGTTTTTCTAGCAAGTTTACTGGGTTTTTTTCCAGCTTGCTGACAGCATCTGTATGCAGCTCAGGCTCTGTGAAACATGACCTTGCTGCAGATCCACCCTGGGTACCATCTGCTACCATCCAGAAGTGGTCTTTTGGTGGGCCAAGATGTCTTAACTCTGTGCCCTGCTGTTGCAGCATTTACAGCTGATGACAAAAATGGAGTACAGCTTGTTTCTCATCTCAAGCAGTGAGCTTTTAAAATTGCAAGAGGAAATTTCCACAAAAAGGAGATCTCTCCCTTTTTTTTGGTTGTGTGTGTGTAAAAATGGTCAACAAGGTGGAAGAAATGCATGCCTGTGTGGTGAGGGGGAAGATCATTTGAATGTCTGCTAAAAATGGGCCTCATATAAAAGAAAAGACTAATCTTTTTCAGGATCATCCAGAGGTCATTGATATCACATTTGTTAGCACGAATATGCGATATCCATGAGATAAAGCAAATGTTCCTGCTGTGGAGTATCTGAAAAGGTCACACGTTGCTCAGAAGTGGCATCAGGTGTGACTGAGAGAGACAGGGAGAGACTCCGCACGCATAGGAATGCAGAAATTGCTTCTCTGGATTGGACCAGGCATCTACCTGCTCTGCTTACCCACATTGTGAACCTGCTATATTGAGAGGATATCTGCCCTAGTCCTCCTTCAGCTCCCTGTTACTGCCCAGTCTTGCCTTCTACTGGAGTTAATGCTCCACGTGCACTTAATGGCTGAGTGAGCCAGCAATGTGCCCTTGTCGCAAAGAAGCCTCACGGTGTCCTAGGAGAAATATTGCCAGCAGGTCGAGACAGGTGATCTTTCCCCTCTGCTCAGCACGGGTGAGGCCACAGCTGGAGTGCTGGGTCCAGTTCTGGGCTCCCCAGTACAAGACAGATCTGGACGTACTGGAGAGAGTCCAACGAAGGGCCACAAAGATGGTGAAGGGACTGGAGCATCTCTCCTATGAGGAGAGGCTGAGAGAGCTGGGGCTGTTCAGCCTGGAGAAGAGAAGGCTCAGGGGCTTTTATCAAAGTGTACAAATACCTGAAGTGAGGGTGCAAAGAGGGCAGAGCCAGCCTCTCTTTGGTGGTGCCCGGTGACAGGAGGAGCAGCAGTAGGCATTGCCTGAAATACAGGAGGATCCCTCTGAACATCAGGAAACACTTTTTTTTTTTTTTTTTTTTTTTTTTTTTTACTATGAGGGTGACCAAGGACTGGCACAGGTTGCCCAGAG